ATTTATAATAGTTATTGCTATATGTAGAATGTAAATAGAAAAATTAATCCATAAGCAGTGGTGCCACTTTTTTATCATTAAATCATTAAATTGAGATATTTTCTTGAATTGTAAGTAGCAAGATCATTTTTCGTGACGAGTTACACATAATTTGCAAACTTAGCTCGTGTTCAATTTTAAATTCTATTTGAACACCAAAAAAAATTGTCTAGCCATTTTGTGAGATGTAATTCAAATGGAATTGACAAAATTAGAAAAAAATATAATTATTTAGAAAGTTATTTTGTTAAAAAAAATTTTCCCTCGTAGAATTTGTTTATTTCAAAATTTTAAATTGATTGATTGATGAATAATAACGATAATAATTCTATAAATGGATTTAGAAGAAGTTTCTAAAAAAGATGGAATTGAAAAAACTGATAATAATAGTATAAATGAACATGAAGATACATCATTAAATAAAAGCGTCAATGATTCTGAAAAAATAGCAGAGGAGAAAAATGTGGAAGGAGACAATGAATTATTAATTGAAAGAATTTCAGAACCATTATTTGAAAAAAATAACTCTGATAACTTTGAAATTGTAACCTATACAACTACATTCACTAAAGAGTTATTAAATAGCAAAGATAACAACAATAATAAACAGTTGGGAAATGGAGAGGATGAAAATGAAAATGAAAATGAAAATGAAAGCGAAAATGAAAATGAAAAGGAAAATGAAAATGAAAATGAAAATGAAAATGAAAATGAAAATGAAAATGATGATTTAAAATTAATTGATGAAAATCAGTCACCAGTATTGAAACCGTCAATAGATTTCACAGATTCGTCAGATAACAATAAAGATAAAAATTCCGGCAAAGAAGAAGAAGAAGAAGAAGAAGAAGAAGAAGAAGAAGAAGAAGATGGTAATGATATTAAAAAAGATAACAACGATGACGACGATGATAATATCCTTGACGATTCAAAAAATAATGGTGGTGGAAAGATCAATTTAGATGATCGGGTGGATGCAAATGAACCAGTTACAAGCAATTTTTTTATTAATG